GACTACTACTTACTTTTTTAATTACTAAGACCCTTTAATAAGTAAAAGTAGTAAAGTAGTATCCTAAAGTAAATATTATAGTAGTATTTTATAAAATAAAGATAACTAAAAAAAATAAGTATAAGAGTATATTCTATATATATTATAGGCTTTTTAAATAGCTTATTTACCTCTTTAGGTTAACTAATATACTTATAAGCTAGTAATACTTTATTAATAACACTTTATATAAGTTCTTTAATAACTATATTACTATATACCTTAATAATATTCTTATTTACTTAAGTAGTACTAAGGGGGACTATAAAAAAAAAGTATATAATATCTTTATAAAGTTATATATATAAAGGCTTAGCCTAAATATAGCTAAAAGTAAATTTAGTATTAAGAAAGTAAAGTATATTAGGTTTATACTTAAGCTAAGTTAAAGTATATTTATAAATAAAGAGAAAATATATACTATAAGTAAATAGTTAGTACTTAAATTAGTTAAAGAAGTCTAGAGTTTCCTAGGGTTTACTAACTACTACTAGATATTTATTAATAACTACTTTATAATAGTAGCCTCTTTTATAAAGCTAACTAAAAAGGATATAACCTTTTACTAAAATAAAAATTATAAGAAAGTATTCTATAATATTAAGAAGTACTTTTAATATACTCTTTTACTATATAACTTTAATCTATAGGTACTAATATTTAAAAAAACTAACTACTTTAGTTATACTACTAGTAGTATACTAATATAAAAAGATAGTACTAGCTAGTATTAACTTATTACTTTTTACTTATATAAGCTTACTTTTACTAAGTATAACTACTTAATCTATAATAAAGAAATACTTACTATTATTAACTATTTATATATATAGAAAGTAAAGCTTAAGAGTACTAAAAGTATATTTATAGTAGTTATAGACTATAAGTCCTTAAAATACGTTATAAAGAAGTAAAAACTAATAAAATATTAAAAGTAGTAAACAAAAGTTCTCTTAAAGTATAACTTTAAAATAATATACTAACTAAAGAAAAAAGTAGTAGTCTTAAATATACTCTTATAGTGTAAATAAAACACCCTAAAGAGTTAAAATAATAAATAAAAGTAAAAGTAAATTATTTAAATAATCCTTAACACTATAATACCTATAGTATATAGTATAAGTATACTACTTATATTATATATAACTATATTTAATAATAATAACCTATAGTAACTATAGGACTTAATATAGAATAGTAATACCTTATTTTAAAGAGTTTACTAGGCTATTTTTAGTAGTACTTATAAGCTTTTTTTTACCTTATAGCTATATATTTAGGTTATAGACTATATACTTAATAATAAGTCTTAACTTACCTAGAGAGAGAGGCTATAGGTACTAGGTAGCTAAGACCTTAAATCCTCTAATAATAGCCTATACACCTAGTTAATCTAATAAAGCTATAACTTAACTATAACTAGTTACCTAAAGTATAATAGTATACTAAAGATACTATTATATTAGTTTTATTAGCTAAAGTAAGTATAAGTAGTATACTACTTTATTTATAACTATAATATATATAGTAGTAGTAAAGTATAATAAAAAGTAAAAAAGGCCTTTTATAACTACTTAGTATACTAAAGTATCTCTAAAGTAACCTATTAATAGACTTTATTATTAATCTTTTAGTATTAAGGCTAAACTAAGCTATATATATATAGGTTATTATTAACTAACTAAGTAAATTAGTAACCTTTAAGACTATAATAACTATAAGATAAAAAGTTATATAAAGTACTTCTTAAATTATTACTTTTATTTTTATAGTATACTTAAGAGTATAGTAAGTAACTAGAAAAGTAACTAAATAAACTACTTTTAGTACTACTTTTATATACTTACTAGAATAATATAATAGCTTAGTACCTCTTACTACTCCTAAAGTAATAGTACTACTAAGAGGTTTAACTAAGAAGTCTAAGTAATACTTATACCTATATAAGCTACCTTAAGAAGATTAAGTATAGTAGTTACTAGTAATATAACTATTAATTAATAAGTATACTACTATAACTACTAGTATAAGCTTATTTTCTTAAAGTATAAGTACTATATTAACTTTATTATAATTAAAGAGAATATACCTAAAGTAATAGACTTATATAAAGAGGCTATAAATAACTAGTATAGTAAGTAATTAATATAACGACTTTAGCCTAGGCTACTACTATAGCTACCTAGGAAGTTATATAAGAATTAGTAAATAAACAAAGGGTATAGTAAGACACTTTTATATTAGTAATAAAGTATAGTTATCTATATAAAACTATTACTTTTTTAACTAAATTAAAAGTATAACTAGCTATACTATAAGTATTAGGTTACTAAGGTTATTACCTCTTTAGTAGTAAAGTTAAATATACTAAGTAATATTTATAACTACTTTTATATTAACTTATTATACTATATAAGTAATAACCTTTTACTAAGGTAGTATATTACTAATATATAACCTTTACTAGTTATAAAAAAAAATAGTAAGTAGCTAAGATCCTAAGCACTAAGTAGTATAAAAATATAAAGTAAGAAAGTAATAGGTATTAGTATACTAAGAGAAGTATATAAAGCCTACTTAAGAACTTATTAAGTTAGTAAAAGATATATAGCCTTTAATAACTATAAAAATAAATATAGTAATTAATAAGTATAATAAAAGTATAAACTATATATAAAAAAATTAAAAAAATATAAGATAAATAATTCTTTATTTAGCTATAGCTAATAAGTAAAGCTAAACCTTTATAAAGGCTATAATAGTAGTAAGATAAAAAGACACTAAGGTATTATAAAAGTATAAAAAAGACTACTTTACTAGTAGTCTCTTAAATTAAAGAATATAAAGTAATACCTTAAGTATAAATAAAGTTAATAAACTATACTAGTAAGTAACTAATTAGTACTATATTTATAAAATAATAAAATAATAGTACTTATAGTAGCTAAAAAGCTAGTAATACTCTCTTAGGCTATAATAAGCTACTTAGCCTAAGTAGTTATAAAACTACCTAGGCTAGGCCTACTAAATAAAAAGATAGTATATTAGTAGTAATAGTAGTAGTATAGTAGTAGTAGCTAGTATAAGAAAAAAAGTATAGTTATAGGCTATATTATAAGTATATTAGGTTATACCTTAGATTTAGCTTACTTATATAAGTATATACTCTTAGTGCTCTTTTAAGCTATATAGGTAGTCTACTACTTAGTATATACTAAGACTAACTAGGCCTTAGTAGTAGTAGTATAGATACCTTAAAAAGCTAAGTTCTTTATAAGCTATTAGTAATAGTAGTAGTAGTAGTATTTATAGCCTTATAAAGGCCTATAAAGGTAATAAGTATTTAAGAAAAAGATTAGTATATAAAGAAAATAATAAATATAAAGAATAAAGAACTTATATTTTAAGTAAAGTTAGTTACTTAATATATAAGAAGTATAATAAGTACTATATATACTATATTCTTAGTATAATAAAGTACTATAAGTCTTTTACTAAATAGTTAGTATATAACTAGTAAAAAAACATTAAATAGTACTTATTAAAAGTAGACCTTTTTTATTATAAGTAGTTTAAAAAAAAGACTATTTTTAATATTAGCTATAAATCTACTATAATATAAGTATAAGTTAAACTTATAAACTAGTATAAAAGAAGTATACTTAAGGTTAATAGTAGTAATAAGGTCTTAAGGATAAGCTACTTTTTATCTTTAGGTAAAAGGCTTTAGCTAAAAGTAAAAGGCTATAATATAATAAGTTAGTAATAAATTATAGTAGGTCTATATATATATATATATACTTATAAAAGTAACTTACTAGTATCTTCTATTTTTAATTATCTTTAATTAATAAAGACTATATTAGTAAAATAATTACTTTATAACAATAATATATAGTAGTAAAAAAGATACTTATAATATTAATAAAGAGGCCTAAAGAAGAAAAGAAAAAAAGAAAAATAGTAAGTAATCTATAGTAAGTAATAACTATAAGTTAGATTTCTATAGTTATCTATAATAGAGGGCTAGTAAGGCCTAGAAGCCTTATTCTTTTAACTACTAGTAAGGAGGAAGTATATATTATAGGCTAAAGCTATAGTAAGTGTAGTAAGGCTTTACTTACTATAATATATAAGCTAGTAAAGAGAGTATACTTAGTTAGTACTTAGTTAGTGCCCTTATTTAACCTTATATATATAATATATATACTACTATAAATAACCTTCCCTCCTTAGTCTAGATTAATTATATTAAGTTACTATACACCTATTAGAAAGTAGTACTAACTCTTTATAAGGCCTAGTAAAGTAGTTAGCCTATTTAGCCTAGTAGCTAGTAGTAAAATAAAGCTATAATTATTATTCTATAGTTAACTTTTTATTAGTTTACTAAATTATAGTATTAACTATACTAGTTAAACTAGCTAGTAAAAAATAAATTAAATACTTATACTATTTATTACTTATTTAAAAAAGTATATAAAAAGTATAATAAGTAAGTATTTAGAAAAGTACTTCTATAGTAAAAGGTCTACTAGCTAAAAGGCTAATTAAATAACCTATAGTAATATAGAAGGAAAAAGGTTACCTTATTACCTAATAGTACCTTTACTACTATATATAATATTTAGTAGGCGTAAAGTCTAGATATTAGGGATATAGATAGTCTAGATAAATCTAGTGCATCTAAATTACCTAGTGAGGCTGGAAGTTGTATATAGGTAGGCGGCAGAGGTAGTGAAATAAGTGGTGATAGTGGTGATGATGATGGTGATAGGGTTTTGTAGAAGTAGGGGTTTTACGGAAATGGGGTATTTGAGTTATTGATACCTAGAGATTGAGATTCATTGGGTTTTGAGCTCTTTATGGCCTATCTGCTTGTGCCTGAGCATTGAGACCACTTAGTTTGGAAAAGAAACGTCAGCGATTCCAAGACTGCAATAGAAGTCGGGGCGTAATACCGGGAATCTCTGTCCATCGAAGACCACGTCGTCGACAGTGAAGGGTGCCGGCAGAGCTCCCATCTTGATAACTTCCCCCTTTATCCTTAACTCATATTGATACAAAGGGTTTGGTACATTCTCTGGCTCCGGCTTCAGGCCATCTGATCCCAAAGGTGCGCGAATATTCACTGTGGTTGGCCTAAACAGGTTGGGAACCTCAGGGTTGAGGGCCTAGTCCCAGTAAAGCAGTCTCCACTGAGTCGATTCCTTGATCCAGACGTTCTTCTCGACCTTACTGCTAAAAGGTAGCTTTTTAATCACTTTGCCCATGAACTGGTAGATTGTTTGCTGAGATAGCATTAGACTTGGGTCAGAGGCTAACAGAAACACGAGGTGTACACCTCAAACAGAGCCATGTAAGGTCTGTGCCACGTAGGAAAGGTGAGTAAGTTGTGGGTACAGTAGATAAAATGTTCCTTATTATCTTTGCTTAGGTGCGTAGGGCCAGCGGAATTATCCCAGCGAACGCTTCCTGGATAACCGTGAATACCTGTTGGAAGCGCAGTGAGTAGGAAGAACCACAAGGGAGGGTTATTAGATGCCTACCGGCTATCTGGAAGTACGAAAGAGTCTTGGTGTAGTCTTCATTGTACAACAACTGGAGTGCCCGGATGAAAAGGGAGACTTGGATGTTCTCCTCGGGCTTTTCCATTGCCTATTTCGTGAACTCTTGGCGAAGTCCGGGCTTTTCTCCTGGGGGAACAGGAATGCCTTGTATAACAACAAATTCATGTTGAGGGTTTTCGGCGGTCATGTCGACAAGTTTTAATTTTTTGTTGTGGAGCGAGCGAGGAGTGGTGGCATTAGATGGTACTCAAGAGGTGTTGGGTCTTCCTCCAGGACTGAGCGCGATATATATAGCCGTCACTGGTCAGCGGTTCGAGGTCCTACGAACATCACTCACACGACCCTAGGCTTAATAGTTGATCATGTAAGCCAAGAGTTGGAAGCTCTTGGAATGTTTTCAGTTAGCCATAGAATCAAGAAATAGCCTGTTGTTTCTCAGCTAGTCAAAGGGTGACATGCCCCTCTACATTTTTAATATTTAGCACAACCAATCAACGCAGCAGCTACAGCAACCTTTCTAGGTAGTAATTGCATTTTCATCAACTGCAGGTGATCGCTCTCGTAACCCACTACCGATTCAGCTGTCGCCGGAAATGGGGGAACCAGCTAGCCACATTCCTGGGCTATTCCTGGGCTAGGCAGAATGGAGATTGGGGCAAGCGGGGTTAGCACTGAGCTTGGCGGCAGCTGAGTTGACTGGGGTAACGATCCGTCGCGGTGGCGCAGCTGAGACTCGTGGAGAATGAAGTTTGATTGAGTATGGCTTACAATGCTCTATGCGATGATTAATTAAAGATTGTTGTGGAATGCGGCGCGGGCCGCGTTAGCGAAGCAAACTTCTTTATGCTCCAGCACCTCAGTTGCTGCTCACACGTGTATCACGCTGCTCCTCTGTGCTCTAGCTTAGAAGGCCAACTCCTTTTGCTTTTTCAAAGCTCGTTCTTGTGCTCTTGCCAAATACAACACTAGATATTATATATGCCCATAATTCATACTGTAGGTTAGCAGACTGATGAGGAGTTGTCTATAGGACATAGATATAGCTTTATCTTACGGCTAGCTGAACTACTGACTAGACTGCTGGCCGGTTGATGCCCTAGATACTAAGGGGTTGAATTGAGGGTACCTGAAGAGATTAGCTATAATAATCCTGTTGCCTTTTGGAACAGGAAGTCTAGTGTGGAGTCGAAAGCTTGTCAAGTTCCCCTAATTTAGGCCCTAGTACAAGGTCCCCGACAAGGTCTAACAGGGCGTCGGTGCAGGCCTTGTCAAGCAAGAGTCACATGTCCTCCAACGTCCCGTGCTGGAAGAAATACGTGAGGAAGCACATGAGACCTGTACACATCGACTGGAACCGTCTCCTGGTGTTGAGAAGCGATTTTGGACTGAGGAATAGAAATGATCTCGCGTGTGAGCCGCATCACGTTTTCACGATGTGAAGTTTAATCTAACGACATGGGTTGCAAATACTGCATTATCTCAATTGCTACCAGCGGGTTTACTGAGTGCAAGACTTATATTTTTCAAGTGGGCCTCGGAGAATACCCAAATACCATAAGGTGTTGGTCCAATCGGCCACTGAGAGAGAACGCGACTTGAGTGAAAAAGGTTCAGTTGATAAATGAGGTGAGCAAAGCATATATCCTGACGACATGAATGAATCTCGTCGCGCGTCTCAAGTAAGCACAAGTCTCAGTCCCAGTGCCACCCACGTCACCACATGTTCCTCACGTCTCCACCATTAAGCAGTATTATACAGTTGATTTTATTAGTTTGATGCAAGCCCAGAACTATAGTGAACCAAGATTGGAAGCCATCATTTCTCTAAATTCGATTGTTTCCTCCCATCAGCTCCATCAATCATTGCACCCCGTGTCCAAGGACTTCATCGTCACTCCCAAACTACTACACTACGCATGTACAAGCCAGTAGATCTAAGATGGCTACACGAGACACATCACTTGGGCCATGGAACTTGTTAAAGTGGTCCCGATTGACGAGTCGCAAGCAAGCAAGCAACCTATTTGGACAACGACTATCCGGCTGGGTGGACATCTTGGAAGACTTCCCTCCCCCTTTTACACCTAACCAAACTAGTCACATAACACAATCTGCTCTTGGGTACTATGCCTCGCCTTGCAACCTAGTCATTTGTTATCAGTGAGCTCTCTCTTGCTGTCAACTACGCCGTCGCCGCCGCCGTCCTCTAAAGGCACGCAGGGCATCCCAATCTAGCCGGAAAGGGGTAGTGACTGGATGGCTGGCGAAGCAGGCGTAGAAGATGGTTGTAATAACATCTTGAAAGCATAGTCTTGTGCTCCATGCACCTCCCGTTTGTTTGTATCCAACAACGCCGCCATCTCATTTCACTGAACCAACACTGACTTCTGCTAGAGCAGCCAAGTATATACGGCACAGCGTCACCAGGACTAAGCTGTCTGTCTCCACTCTTGCATTCAATTCTTGCAGCCATGCATGTGCGGTGACGAGAGCTGCTGGTGGAACTCGGTCAAGCCAAGTCTTTCCACAGGAACCTTAAAGCTTACGTAGTTAATAATGATGCACTTGTTTCTCAGTGATCCGTAGGCAAGGAAGGTTTCACGGGGGAACTCAATGCCAGAACTATGGTGTCTTTAGTGTCAGTTACTTGAGGCAACGGCTGCAAGGCGGGCACACAGGCGCCATTATGTGGTACTAGCCTTAGCCAAATTATTCAGCCTTTCAAAGATAGTGTCAGTCTTCAGCCAAACAAGAGCAATTTCACTTAGGCCAGAACTACTTCTAACAACCAAAACATCTCGGCTAATGAAAACATGGTCGCAATCTTGGCCATCTGATTCGTGCAGAACCCCACCAACCACGCCTCCTTGCCCTTCTCAACCAGCTTGTCTTTGTCCAGGTCAATGCCAACAACAAACAGAAGTAGCCATAATTTATATTACTACAGCCTTATGTTTATGTTTATTATACTATTTATAGATACCGTGGCTACTTACCTAAGGCCAGGTTTTGACAGCATAACTAAGGAAGCTTGGGGATTTTATTGCGTACCCCTGTTTACAAAGAAATAAACAATCCTGCAAACGCCAAAACTATATCTACAGACTAGCTATGTTTCCAGCCACTGCTACTGTCGGACTAGGTCACTAACTTCGCGTCTTACATCACAATAGATCCTAGAATCAATATCAAAGCATTCCCTTTCCTCTTCCATACAAAAACAATAACAGCAGCAGCAAAAAAACAGCAGCAACATACATACGTTGTGAACCATTCACTAGATAACACACTACGTCGCTTAATGCATCGTCTTAATTTACCATGCCGTCAACGATTCACCTATCCCCCCTTATTCCAAATACAAGGCCAGGAGCCATGACAGATCCACAAGACCAGGACAACAGGTCATCCCAGACAACGCCCTCTAGGCCTCACTAGACGCCTTCTAGATAGCGACTAGCGCCCGCCGTTCAGCCTCCTCTCGCTCCTTGCCCAGATGCTCAACCCACGCCAGCAGCTGCACAACAGCTCCTCTGTCCACAACCCCGCGCTCCTTCTTCGAGAGTAGATGAAGGAGCATAATGTCCAACAACGCAGCCGGAGTCGGAACCTGGCCCGTCGGCAGCAACCTGCGGAGCACAGTTGCGTAAAGCGGCAGCCAGACTTCCGGGTCCTTCAGGTTGAGCTCTGCGGTGACGAGCTCGCCGTACGCGTCCATACAGGCAATGGACATGGCGACAAGCGCGTTCTTCTCCCTCGCCATCGTGTCAATCACAAGTCCTAAATAACCTAGGTAACACACCAGCTAGCACAGCAACAACTGGTCTTGCAGGAGGGGTGATCTCTGCTGATATTTCTTATACCTTCACGGATGTGGGAAGACGCCGTCGTGGATGCCTCTGCCGCACAGTTCTGCGGGCAAGCCAATATAGAGAAGGCTGCGGCGACCGGCCCACCACCCACGACTGGCCCGGTGACGCTCGCCCAAGGTTTTGGTCTCGGCCTCGCATCCTGCTCCAGTTCATCGAGACATGGAGTTGGAGGTGGAGTCTGAGGTGGAAATAGTGGACGTGGTAAAATTGGTGGTGGTGGTGGTGGTGGTGGTGGTGGTGGTGGCTTGCCGTCACCTCGTCGCCGCCCACGTCGTTTCCTCTTATATAGATATGTAGATTATCATGTCCGCCGCCGCTGCTGCTGCCGCCCTAGCACCCTTCACAGACAAACACTCTGCAAAAGAGTTTTGCGCACCTCCTCCGGCCATGTATACACGATCCTCCCCTCCTCTGGGTCGAACCGGACCTCAAAGCCACCCATGTGCCCCTTGATAATGACGCCAAGGTGGGATACTAATGAGCCGCGCATCTTGTCCTCGATCGCAGCCCAATCGGCGGGGCTCAGTGGTCCACCGTCAATATCAAGCAGTAACGCTAGCCCGCACAGCCAGGACGCCCTGGCTGTATGCGGTTGGTAGCTGTGTTTGGCGAGAAAGTAGCGAGGTATAATCTTGTCCCTGGCACACCACACGACCTGGATACAGTGGCTTGGGGGTTTGTAGATAGGCTGGCCTATAGCTACGCCGCGGGAAACGTAGCATAGTTGGTCCTGCTCTTGGAAGCCAAGTCAGTCAGTTGTTGTCTTCTGTGATATGAGAAATAAGGCCTCGCGTTTACTTACAGCTGGATAGCCTCTGTTGGGAAACTGCGGTTCTTGGGAGTATTAATCTATGACAACCACCGGCAGGGTTGCAAGAAGACGAAATAATAACAAGATAAAGAACGACAACAGCTTTGCCTATAGGGAAACGACTAACCTCATTCTCTCCTCCCCCCTTTAAACCTTTTTGCCTTATAGGGCTTACGTTGTGCAAACAACGGCGAGCGACGTGAGTGCGTCTAGTCCACGGTGCGTTGAGGAGGCGGCGGTGAAGAAGCATGTCTTTGTATGCCCATCTGATAGATAGCTGACTGACTGAGAGATAGACTGATAGACAGAAAGAAAGAAAACACAGCGATATACCATATAGCAGATAGAAAGGGAGCTGCTGCTGCACGTTCCCGCCGACAGCAGACATAAGGCGTGTCAGGGCGCAACTTAGCGCGTCAAGGTGAGAGACAACAGAAAGAGACGTAATGCAAGGGAGACAGACGCAGGTATGTTTTTTCAGGAAGAGATAAGGTGTATCCAGGCATCAGAACAAGTCAGATTAAGACCAATAGTGAGGATAAAAGGAAAAAAGAAGCACTAGGAAAAGACGATAGATTCATGGTGATGCTATACCAGAGCAGGCCAGAGAATAAACGTTTTAAGATTTCTATTTGTTCTTCTCCTTCTTCTGTCTAGCCCTGCACCAAAGCGGCTTGCGGCCCCTTGCCCTTACCCCTCCTGTGACGTCTCTGGCTGTTGGGTCGATGGGTCACGTTTGACTCCATTTGTGCCGGCGCCTGCTACCCATCTGGATTGGCAGGCGACGCGGCTAAGAAGGCCCTGGCGAAACTATAGCGCGACTTATGTGGGATCTGGGCCGGTGATATCTATTAAAATTCGGGTCGCAGGTCGAGTCCGGGGTGTATTTCCCTATCAGACAGGGCGCCGAAGTAGGCCTCATTGCCCGGGAACTGGCTGCACAAGAGTGGTGTGTTATTATTGTCGGAGGGTATGATTGCGTTGACTATGTAGCGTTTGCCTTTGGGGGGGCAGAGAGGACATGGCCGCTGTTTAATTAGAGGGTAAACCGAGGTCTACCAGCAACTCCCCGAGCGGAGACAGACCGGAGAGAGCGAACTAACCTCTCCGTGGAGTGTGACAATGAATTCGGTCGGGCGGTCAAGGAAACCGTCAAGGAGGGCAAGCGCAAGCCCTCTGACAAGACGGAGCGGCCAGACTCTGACGCCCAGGACGACGCTGCCTCAAAAGGACGTTCCAAGGAGAAGTGAGAGCGCATGGACTTCGTACCCACTGTTCAGTTCCAGCTCCCAATCCATCGACGAGTCCGCCCATCCACTCAACCATCCACGCCACATACATCCACCTATCTGCGTGTAGTAAGTCTTAGATGTGTATGTTGTCAGCCGTACGTATGTACCACCACCTATTGTTCATAGTTCGTCGTCGCCCGCCGCCTGCTGACGTACGCGAACTGCTACTACTGCTCTTCGAACCCGTTCGTCGTAATACGAGCCGGTTACGAACCTTGGCTTGCAGCAAACATGTTTGCAATGATGTCTAGTACCTGAAACACCGAATGTCATGCTGACGCCGAGGAAGGGAAGAAATCCACTCCAGGCAGCATGGTTGAGAAAGCGACGGAGAGACAGAGAGACAGAGGGATGAAGAGATAAAGAGATGGGTGGAAATACAGGATAAGACTAGGAGACGGCGCTCTGGCTCTCAGGATTTTTAGTGTTAAGATAGATAGTGTTGAGATAGGTGGTGTTAAGATGGGTGGTGTTAAGGTAGGTGGTGTTAAGGTGGGTGGTGTTGGTGTTATATAAGATAAGTGGGGCACTACAAGATGCTGCTGTTTATCTGTTAAAATACAGGTAGGGAACTATAATAGATTTAGTAAGGTCTTCTAGGCTTCCTTAGTCTATTATACGATAGAATAAATATATTTATTTAAGCATGTACCTTATTGCAGCTTTTGGACTACGGCGCTGGAGCCATGTAAGAACCTGCCGGTTGGATGATGGCCTGAAGTCCTTCCTTCTGTCCTCTATTCAGGCCTAGCTCCACACGAAGAATGACTAACAACTTTATTGTCTTAAAAGTTGCATGTCCAGGTACGAGCTTTTCGATATGCAAAGTAACAATGGACATATTGTCCTTCCATCTCGGCCGTCAAGCAAGGCAATGAATGTGCCATGGCATGCGTGCTTAGGGATGAGGAAGGCTCTCGGAGATATGGGGTGGGTGCCACACGTAGATACCATATAGAGATGCCGCATTCATAGACGGCGAAAGATTAGGACGTCCCCGTTACCAGATCCGCCTTGTTCTGTCTCAAGCCAAAAGCAGCCGTGACAGATGGGGTTCTGCTGCGGCTACCTGTGCGTGCACTCGTCCACGACAGCTTGCGCAGGGCAGCGAGATGGTCAGGACGAGGTGGAGGTCTCGGGCTTGGAAAGAGTGGTAAATGTTGGAGATGGCGGAAAAGCTTCACCCTTGGTTGCCCCCGGACATATGAGGCTCCCTGCCGCCGACCCAGACCAGTCGGTGCCTGTATTACGTACCTTGGTATGCAACCCGTCATGTTGAGAAACGCATCGCCTAGAGCATCTGACAGACATGCGCATGCATCCATTCATTTGTTTATCCTGATCCGTTTGCCCCAACGTCTTGGCTGTAGCTGCTGCCCATGGTACGGCTTGCCTCTCTCTGTTTTCCATTTTGAACCAGACTCTGCACCCCGAGACGTGACGGAAAGGCCTGAAAGAGGCTCTTTGCCTGGCTTGTGGGATTATGACTCGAAGATGGTTCGGAGATGCTTGCTGCTAGCAGCCGAGGACTGATGATTCCAAGTCATTGAGGCCACGATTGGAATTGTTCAACGTGTCGAAGGCTTCTTACCACATGATGGAAGAACGGGGTTAATGTTTCTCTGGGGATGATGACTGGATAGGAAGGAAGGTGAGGCTGGGTGCTCGGGCTACTTCCTCCTGCCTCAATCGTTCAAACTTCTCTTTCCACGCCGCGTTAACAGCGGTTGAGGAAAATTCCCCGACAATCCCTTCTTTTTTCCCTATTCGTACCTGTGGCTAGTAGCCATTTTCTATCATCCATCCTGCTAGAGACTATACCGGTAGAGTTTCGGTATGATATCGGTAAGCACGGGAAGGAATACCGAAGCGGACGAAGTGGACGGTGGTCGGTGATCGAGGGTTCAGCAGTGCCATGTGTGATTTGGGCGTTTGTTGGTCGGTTTGGTGTTACAAGCAAACAAACGAAAGCCCTAAACATAACCCTGATTCTTTTTCTCTTTTTCTTTGGTTTTGTTATTTAGGAAGAGGACAATGAGTAAATATACTAGCTTGCAATAGTCCCTTGAATCGAATCTGAAACTGTTGAGTCCTTTGACGAGTCAAAATCGCCGTATATTATTCGCATCCGATGGCCGCCAACACGGCGAACGGCCGACAGACGGCTTCACCATTCTCCGAATCTCCCTCAAAATCCCATCCAGACTGCAGTCACTGCAATCAAACCGCCGCCGGCAGGGCTACGAGACAGGCAACGGACTGGAGCTGTGTTTCCACGACGACTTCAATCCCGACGATGGCCTGCCTATCCCCCTCCACTTCCGATTAGCAGATATCAAGTGGTTCCAGACGTCGCCGATATGCCCTACCCTAACAGCGCCATGTTATATCCACGAAAGTACTTTAAAGTGTTGAACAGAATAGAGGGCTAGAACCTGTGTCGTGGGACGTGGGGGTCGAGGACGTGGGCTCCCCGGCGGGGGCAGAGCAGCCGTACACAGTGACACTTCAGGTGTTGCAAACAAGCTATACGGTAGACGCAGCCAAGGAGGCAACAAGGCTGGCGGACGGGGTGGCGGATCTCTTGTCTGCGTTGACGTGCACGCCGGGGGAGGTGTTTGAGGAGGAGGGGGACATTAATGGCGAGGAACAGGTGCGCCAAATGATGGACTTTTCGTATGCGGCAGGCATCGAGGTGTGTGTCGTCAAATTAGGCAATGGCCTCATGTATGAGTTAATCCGATCAGGTGGCACGTGCGTACGTACTCACACGTAATTAGATACGTATCATCAGCACATCAACAAACATATGCAGGTACCCGGGACGCGAGATTAGGGAGTATCATTTTTCATTCTGTCTCGTTTTTCTCATCATCTCGTCTCTCATCCTCGCAAGGCAGGTTGAAAGTTAAGAGTTGGGAGGCAGAAGGAAGACCATCGAGGTGACTGGAGTGTGAAGTGGGTTGGGAATCTGGAGGTGGCACCGTATCGGTACTGTATTAGGCAGTTGAGGCAGTAGCGCAGGCAGCAATAAGGTATTCTCACAGCTAGGCTAGGAAGCCGAGAGGAGCTTGCAGGGGGGTGGTTGGGGTCATTAACAGTGACCTACAATGACGTCCAAAGCACTTCAGATAAGTCGATCTAAAGTGCCGTTGGCGCTAATAGGAAAGATAAGAATTAACTGGATGCAAAAGGCGACGGTTCAGTAGCTGGCAGTAGATGAAGATGGAAGAAATAAAGGAGAGCAAGATGTTATTAAGTAATAGGTTAGCTAGCCAGACCCCTTCGACGCCGCTTCACCCCGACAACGGACGCAGCAAACGAACGTACAGACAAATAACACCCATGACGGTGTACAGCTGGCGTATATAGCACCCGCCGGCTATCAGGTGCTTCAACCTCGCCCCTGACAGCTGGCGGGTGCTGAATCCACCCCCGCTAGCCACCCTGAAAGTAGAGTTTCGAAGGCTGTAGTCCATGGTTGAGCAAACCTAGAGGTAGGAAAAGATAGATTAAATAATAAGAAAAGAAAATCGTAGACTTTTGGCTTACATCTAAGGCCGCGACAGGCGGCGTCTATTGTCTATAAGGCCTTAAGGAAAGCTACCTGTTAGACACTGACCTAGGTATCTGTTCCTCCTGCTTTATACTCTCCTATGCTGCTTGTTGCTGGCAGAAATCTCTAGTATAAAGGCTACTAAGTTACCGTTAGACTTTGAATTTTAATGACCTCTTGTTATACTATTATTATTATTATATACTGCTTTTTCTATTTTAATTAGCTGTTGCTCTACGCTCTAGCTGTTTATAATATAGATAAACATCTCTTAAATATACTTAATTCTATCTAGAAGAAAGCTATTGTATTACGTTATGTAGAACTATTCCTTCTCTAGTAACATAGGACACTATACCTAAGCAGCTAAGATTAAAAGCTTTATAGGCGCTATTTTTATTAATTAATCTAGTAAGAACAGAAGTATAGGATTATTTAATCTAATTTTTACTTTAGCTATTTATCTATGCCTTAGTTACTTTATCTAGAATATAATATTAGGTATAGTAATATATATAAGCTCTATTAATACTACCTTTATTAACACTATGTTTATTAATACTACGTCTATTAACACTACGTCTATTAACACTATGTCTACTAACACTACTACTATTAACACTACGTCTATTAACACTACGTCTATTAACACCACGTCTATTAACACTACGTCTATTAACACTACGTCTATTAACACTATATCTACTAACACTACTACTATTAATACTACTACTATTAACACTACTACTATTAATACTACTACTATTAACACTACGTCTATTAACACTATGTCTATTAACACTATGTCTATTAATACTATGTCTATTAACACTATATCTATTAATACTACGTCTATTAATACTATGTCTATTAACACTACGTCTATTAACACTATATCTATTAACACTACGTCTATTAACACTATGTCTATTAACACTATATCTATTAATACTATATTTATTAACACTACGTTTATTAACACTATGTCTATTAACACTATGTCTATTAACACTATGTCTATTAACACTATATCTATTAACACTACGTCTATTAACACTACATCTATTAACACTATGTCTATTAACACTATGTCTACTAATACTACTACTATTAACACTATGTCTACTAATACTACTACTATTAATACTATATCTATTAATACTATGTCTATTAACACTACGTCTATTAATACTATATTTATTAACACTATGTCTACTAATACTACTACTATTAACACTATATCTACTAACACTACTACTATTAACACTATATCTATTAACACTACGTCTATTAACACTACGTCTATTAACACTACGTCTATTAACACTATGTCTATTAACACTATGTCTACTAACACTACTACTATTAATACTACTACTATTAATACTACTACTATTAATACTACTACTATTAACACTACGTCTATTAACACTATGTCTATTAACACTATATCTATTAATACTATATCTATTAACACTATATCTATTAATACTATGTCTATTAATACTATATCTATTAACACTACGTCTATTAACACTATATCTATTAACACTACGTCTATTAACACTATGTCTATTAACACTATATCTATTAATACTACATCTATTAATACTACGTTTATTAACACTATATCTATTAACACTATGTCTATTAACACTATGTCTATTAACACTATATTTATTAACACTACGTCTATTAACACTATATCTATTAACACTATATCTATTAACACTATGTCTACTAATACTACTACTATTAACACTATGTCTACTAATACTACTACTATTAATACTATATCTATTAATACTATATCTATTAACACTACGTCTATTAATACTATATCTATTAACACTATGTCTACTAATACTACTACTATTAACACTATATCTACTAACACTACTACTATTAACACTATATCTATTAACACTACGTCTATTAACACTACGTCTATTAACACTACGTCTATTAACACTACGTCTATTAATACTACGTCTATTAATACTACGTCTATTAACACTACGTCTATTAATACTATGTCTATTAACACTATATTTATTAACACTATGTCTATTAACACTACGTTTATTAACACTATGTCTATTAACACTACGTCTATTAACACTATGTCTATTAATACTACGTCTATTAACACTACGTCTATTAACACTACGTCTATTAACACTACGTCTATTAACACTACGTCTATTAATACCACGTCTATTAACACTATGTCTATTAATACTACGTTTATTAATACTACATCTATTAACACTATATCTATTAACACTATGTCTATTAACACCACGTCTACTAACACTATGTCTACTAACACTACTACTATTAATACTACGTCTATTAACACTACGTCTATTAACACCATGTCTATTAACACTACGTCTATTAACACCACGTCTATTAACACTATGTCTATTAACACTACGTCTATTAACACCACGTCTATTAACACCACGTCTATTAACACCATGTCTATTAACACTATGTCTATTAACACCACGTCTATTAACACTACCTAAAAAGGGCATATGACCTTGTTTGCTCCTCCTAAGCAACGCTTTTGCCTAGTGGAGGGCATAATGATGTTTAATTATAAAATTGTAGACAGGAGCTAATAGGAGAGCAGGTGAGGCGTTGTAGTCTTAGCTTAATAAATCTAAGGTAGAATAATAAATTAAAGTGCGCAAACATGAACATGTTGCGTTTGGGGCAGAGGGTTAACTAATCTTTTAGAAAGAAACTAATTATCTTTAATTCTTACTACATTGCTCTTAAGGCTTGCAGGTGTCAGGCAAGCAGCAAGCAGTACTAATCAGTTTACATGAAACGCATTTTTCAATATTAGCTAACAACTTTGTATAGCAAGAATATTGACGCCGTTGATATTATCAGGCGCGACCAAGTTTTAGTAGTACAAAAATACTAGGCGAAACCGATGAACAGGACAAGGCTTTCTACTCTGAATTATATCTCTTAAAAGTCAACTTGGATGGCTATCTTGTTGACTGAAAAGGCAAGACTTCCAACTAGAAAACAACATTTTTGAACTAGAAAGCAGCATTTCTCAGCTAGAACACCAAGATAGAGAGAAGAAGGCGCTAGCGCTCCTTATGAACGTCGATACTTCTAAGCTAAGAGCCGTAGCCTTTTGGCTAGAAAATTTAGCCACCAGAGTAATATTAGCCTCCGGCCTGATAGGCAAAGCTGCCACCCAGGAGGTCTATTGTGTACTATTCTGTACGGGTGCCTAACCTGGACGTTTTTGATGACGACGAGAATAGGCTCCATGGCACAGCTGTTTCGCAGGTCTTTGCCTTCATACTTCAGGCTCTCCGCCCTGACACGCCTCCATCGTCCTGGCACGACGCCGCCGCGGGTCACGACACCTGGGCTGTAGAATATGATGACGTATTAAGCGCTTCACTCAAAGCAACCCCATCAACCAACTTCATCAACCAACCTGTCAACTCTGCGAATAGCTTCACATCAACCAACCAACTTCAAGTCCAAAGTTAGGTTAGTTGATTGATTCATGTGGAGTCAGATTATCTATATATTCCTCTGCTGTATATTTTCTCTGAACCCGAGTATCTACACTATATCCTTACCTGTGATACTATTCTTTGTGTTTCTGTGGATATATAGTGGATGCCCTGCCTTGAGTCATAACCCCTTATACTTGCCCTCCCCCCTATCCCTTATTTTTTCCCTTTCTTGGAGCTATTTATAATGACTACTCTATTAACAACCAATGCCCTCGCCCTCCTATAATCCCAAGATACTATACATACCTAAGCAAGGAATACATCCTTAGTTACTATATACATTATATAGGTAGGATAGGACTTATAAATAGCCTCACTTTACTCTGACAGCAACAGTATAATGGTTATAACTGTACGGAGTACAATTACAACAATCATCGTCTCGCCTTATGCTAGGGAAGAAAAGAAACCGACTATGGGGGGGGGGGGGGGGGGGGGCGGGGGGTGCCTTTATATACTATAGGAATAGCAGCATCATATAGGTAATAGGTATTCAACCGAAAACAACCAATTCAACCAACTATGGGAATAGCTTCAAGTTAACTAAC